GGGGGAGAGAGAGAGAGAGAGAGCGAGAGAGAGAGAGAGAGCTGTGGCGCCTCCACGACGACCATGCAGCTCAAAGTTGGCGAAGGGGGATTAGAGGCCAGAGGGTGCCGTAGCAGCTGGTTAGTCTGTGCGTAGTTGTGTGTGTTTGTGGTTGTGTGTGTTTGTGTGTGTGTCACCGGGTAATGTGCGTCCGAGACCTTTAGTGCGTCGAGCCAGACAGATTGAAACAGTTTCGCCTGACGATTTGCCACTGCAAGCGGGCCGGTGGTCGTCGCAAGATGGGGAGAGAGAGAGAGAGAGAGAGAGAGAGAGAGAGAGAGAGAGAGAGAGAGAGAGAGAGAGAGAGAGAGAGAGAGAGAGTTACTAGTGAAGTTGCGGCAGAAGCATCGCGAGTTCGTTCCCCGGACAACGAAAACAACAAGAAAACAATGTTGGTAGAGCAGCCGTTTATACGGTGCGGCGGTCCCCTCGCCTCCCTCCTTCTGGAGAGCAGGGTAGGACCGTTGCACGTGTGTGGGTGGGGGTGGGGCGTGGTGCAAGGCGGTGAAAGGGGTCGCGCCGTCCCGTCTTGGATTATTGTTGATTTCGGCGGCGGCCCGCCCGGGCCCGCCTCCCAGCCTCGCAGGCAGCAGCCCAGCCACCGCACCTCCCAAACAAACTCGTTTTCCCCGCGGAAAGTTTTTCCATCCCACCGCCACAGGAGAGTGGTTGCTCGGACCTGGCTCGGGGGGGGGGGGTGTGTGTGGGGGTGGGAGAGAGAGGAGAGAGGAGAGAGGGGAGAGAGAGGGGAGAGAGAGAGAGAGAGAGAGAGAGAGAGAGAGAGAGAGAGAGAGAGGCGGCTCTCCTTCAGCAGCGTTGGTGGGCCCCGCCGAAAGCGAGAGTGAAACGAAGTAAAAAGGGCGCCAGATGAGCGAGTAAAATGGCGCGGAAAAGCCCCACCGCGGCCGCAATGCCGGGGCCACGCCTGGGCAACGCCGCACCGCTGCCTCTTCGTCGTCAAGAAGCGACGCGAGCGAAAGTCCCCGGCCTCGCGAAGTGGAGCGTGCGCCGCCCCGATGCCGCGAAAGCTTTTAAATCTTTGTTCAGCCTGTTTGCGCGGTTCGCGGGAACGCGGCGCGATTACGAGTAAGAAAAGGAGCGGGCAAGTTGGCGCGTGGTTGCCGGGACCGGGGAGGAGGGCAAACTTTGGGGGAGGATGCCCGCGCGTCTCTCGGAGTCTCGGACGGCGCGCGGTGGGCCAGAAGACCGGTGCACCGGACGCGCTTTGAGCTCCAGAGTCCGCCAAAAGCGACCCGAACCAAACGTCTCACTCCACTAATGGATTGCTCTCCGAACGAGGAATCCATCGGTGGGGGCCACACGTCCGGTTCCAGTCCTGTGCAGCGTCTCTGGAGCCCAAAACGCGTCCGCCCGCGCCGGTCCTCTGGCCCACTGTGCGGCGGCGGCGAGCTGGGCGAGCACGAGCACGGCAAGCCAGGCTGGCTGGACCAAGTCCTCCCCCATCCTCCCCGCCGTGCTGCTTGAGGACGGCGACGGCCGCCACCAAATTTGTTGAAGCAGCTTACCTAAGACTCGTAAAAGGTAGCCAGCCTCCGACCACGTCGCGCCGCGCGGGGAGAGGGGAGAGGGGAGGGGGAGGAGGGGAGGGGAGGGGGTTGCTCCACTTACAGGGAGCACGGTGGATCCGATCAGGTCGGACAAACACGACGTCAAGGGCAGTGGGACTTTACTGCCTGTCCACCGTCGTCTGTCTGTCTGTCTGCATGTCTGTCTGTCTCTCTGTGTCACTCTGGCAGCGTCAGGTTGCCTTGTGGCCCCCACTGTATGCACATTGAGCCGCGCGCGGGGTGTTATTGGAAATGTTCAGTGCAGGCGATCAAAGAGGGCGCCACTCTGCGGGTGTGTGTGTGTGTGTGTGTGTGTGTGTGTGTGTGTGTGTGTAGGAAAAGGGGGGGAGAGAGAGAGAGAGAGAGAGAGAGAGAGAGAGAGAGAGAGAGAGAGAGAGAGGCTGTGCGTGTGTCTGGCTGTGTATATGTGTGGCTGTGTGTTTGTGTGTGTTTATGAGAGAGTTGGTGTGGGCGCGTGCGCGAACGAGCACCAATGGCAATGGTTGTCTGCGTTTTGCACCGTATTAATCCAAGCCAGGCGTGACCCAAGTATGGCTGGGGGGGGGGGGGGTAGTGGTTTGGAACGCACCGGGTAGGGGGGAGGAGCGGTGCGCTCGAGGGTCTCTTCTCGACGCGAATGAAATCAAAGTTGAAGTGGTTTTGCAAAATGATTAATGGCGGACACAAGAGTGAGAGGAGTGTGGTGAGTTTTCCGCAGGCGTGCCGCCTCGCGACCGCGTTTCACGGAGAAACAATGATTCTGGCGCATGCAAAGTATTGTCTGCCCCCCCATGGTACAATTTCTTTTCATTTTTTCGATCTGTCCCGAAAGGCACAAAGAAAAGCCTTCGTCACACGAAGACAAAGTCTAGTCAGTCGGAAACAGATGAAATTGTGAGTGTGTGACCCTGAATGGGGAATCTGTCTGGGCGGGGCTGCACAGTGATCCAAAGGCCCGCGCGGACGGCCAAAACACTAGGCGCGTTTTCTCACCTCACGTCGGTTCGAGCGCTGTTCGGCGACTCTAGAGCTCAGAACACGAATAGAATTTCGACCACCTCCGACGGCCTTCTGGCCCACTGTGGCCTCGAGGACGATTAGGGCGTCGAAGACGTCGAGGACCTCCAGAAGGGCGTGTGAGCTGCAGTCCAATAAACGCGGTTCAAAGGATGGATATCCGCCTGCAGTCCACAAAGAGGCTGTCTGGAATGCCGGCCGGACAGCAGCCCTTCCCCGCCGCGCCACGCCGCACAGTGGGCCAGAAGGCCGGTGGAGGCAGCCAAAACTCTAGACGCGTTTTTAGCTCGAGAGTCGCTGAATGGGACTCGGACCGAACGTGTGACCCCACCAATGGATTCCTCGTTCGGAGAGCAGTCCATTGGTGGGGTCACACGTTCGGTTCGAGTCCTATTTAGCGACTCTGGAGCTCAAAACGCGTATGGAGTTTTGGCCGCCTCCACCGGTCTTCTGGCCCACTGTGCGCCGTCCGGCCCTGCGGCCCGCGTGCCGATAACGATTCCGTCCTGCTCGCAGTGTCATATAACACGGCAGCTGTCGTGACGCGTCTTCCGAGCAGAGACGCGTTTGGCCGTCGCACTCGCACCCTTCTCTGGGACGCCCGACAAGAACCGCAACGACGCTTTGGGGATCGGAATCATTCAGCTGTGCATCATTCGTTAGATTTGAGAGCGTTTCATCACGATGTTGTCTATTTTAAATGGTTTAGTCACGCACTAACAGAACTCATCACACTCGTGTAAATCTTGTCAGAACGTCAAAAACCTGTCCTGAAAACCTGATCAAAATTCGCGCACCTCTGAAAGCTGAAAACTTATTCCGACATTCTGCAGAAATCAGGCCTCCAATATCAGGATAAGTTTTTAGAATTTCGGCTTTCAGAGGTGCGTGAATTTTGATCAGGATGTCAGACATTTTCCTGAAATTTTGATAAAATTTCCACGAGTGCAATTTTTTAATGTTTCAATAAATTTGAACAGTAAGTCGTTTCTCCTTGGCAAAGATCGGACAATCTTGACTTGACTACACTGCAAAAGTAAAGTGTGTACTCAGTGCACTGATAAGCACTATACGTGTTTACTCAGTACATACTTAAGTTTTCAGTGTGTTTGTGACTGAGGCCTTTGTTTTGATTCGCTCGTCCCAGCCGACAGGCGAAGCGTTACGTGATACAAAAACGCCCTTCCGATACTGGCTTGTGTGGGTTGGCTGAATAATACCGGTTCGGTCCGGCTCGGCTCGGTCCGGCTCGGCTCGGTCCGGCTCGGCTCGCCACGGGCTGTCTGATCGGGACAAGCTCCCATCAAATATGCATGCGGTCCAGAACAGCCCAGTCCGGGGCGCACACTGCTGCAGACCGGGGCACCGTGCTGAAGACCAGGCGAGCCCAGGCGACAGGCGCCAGCGCGAAGGCCCAGGCCGAGGCCCAGCCGGCAGCCTGAGCGGCGGGAATTGGAATTCCGTGGTATGCTGGCCCTGACTGGCTCTTCACCGGCCCTTGAATGGCCCTGACTGGCTCTTCACCGGCCCTTGAATGGCCCTGACTGGCTCTTCACCGGCCCTTGAATGGCCCTGACTGGCTCTTCACCGGCCCTTGAATGGCCATGACTAGCTCCTCAGCAGCCCTTGAATGGCCCTGACTGGCTCTTCACCGGCCCTTGAGTGGCCATGACTAGCTCCTCAGCAGCCCTTGAATGGCCCTGACTGACTCTTCACTGGCCCTAGAATGGCCCTGACTGATACCGACGGGCCGAAACTGGCCCTCACTGGTGACTTCTTCTGACTGGATCTTTGGGTTGCCCTGACTAGCTCCTCAGCAGCCCTTGAATGGCCCTGACCGGCCCTGACTGGTCGAAACTGGCCCTGAACGGCTCTTGAATGACCCTGATTGATTCTGCATGATTGGCAGAAACTGGCCCTACTGGCCCTTTACTGGTGTTGACTGGACCGCGGGTTTTTCTGACTCTTCAGGAGCCCTTAAATGACCCTGACTGGCTGACATTGCTTCTGACAGGACCTTGCCTTGCACTGACTTGGAGCCCTTGAATGGCACTGCCTGGCCCTTTACTGTCCTTTAAAGGCTCTTGACAGACCGTTTCTGATTCTGACTGTCCTTGACTGTCCCTGACTGCCCTCGACTGTCCCTGACTGAGCGTGACATGGCAGGTGTTTCACTCGCCACTTTGGAAGCTGTCTCTGTGTGGCTTTGAAGTGCATCCATTGGGGGCCTGTTCGTTCCGCCCTCGTCAAAGACCATTAGGGGAAAGCGGATTTAAATCGACATCCCACATCTCGCACTCTCGACACGCGCGGAGTGCATGCACATCATTATTGTAAAGGCCGTTGCTCACCATCGCTCCTCCCGTCCTGTTGCAGTGTCCGACTTCACCACGGAGCTGTCGCAGCTCTACGAGCGCCACGCGGAGGAGCTGCAGATGCTGGTGGCGGGCTACAGGAAGAGGAACGCAGACCTCCGCAAGGACAGGTGAGTCTTTACACTGCCATTTTGTTTTTACGCCTGTTTACTGTTCACGTTCATTTTAAACAGGAACACACAGAAAAAAAAACCGGGGGCTGTTTTTCTTTTTTTTTGTTAGTCGACGCCCTCTGGCGCGGGGGGGGGGGCAAAAGGATCGATTCTATCGAATTTAAAAGTGGGGGAAAAGGAGAGGGTTGGTTGTTTCCCAGGTGTGGCCGTCCTGTTTTTGCGAGCCACTTCCGGCTGCCTATGGCGAGGCCTGCGGGCTGATTCCGAGCGGCGGCTCCATTGCCCCCCCCTCTCTCTCTCTCTCTCTCTCTCTCTCACTCTCTCTCTCACTCTCACCAGGACGGGGAGCCCCATGAGAGTGAGAGTGACGGCGAGACCGCCCGCTCGGAATCCGTCTGGCGCCACCGGGCTGGAGCGCTCCAATTCACTCTTCGCCGTCGTCTCGCCCCTTTTTTCGCCGCCGAGCTTCGCTTGTTGTCCTGCTTGCACACACACGTGGCGTGTATTGATTGAGAGAGCGCGCTGCTGTTCATTGCCATCCTCTCGGCACACCGTAAACGCGATAGGCAGTCATTCACTGCAAGGGAAACCACCGCGCACCCTAATTGGAAACCGGTCGAACGTGCGCTCTCCCTCTCTGTGGCGAAGTACAAAGGGAGTCAGGTTTTGGTGTTGGCCTGAGCGCCGTCACCAGAATGGAAACGATGGGAGCCAATCCTAGTCAGCCCTTTCCTCGGCAGTGTCGCTCTGGTGTCACATTGAATGACACTGCCGTCACACTACCGTCACACTACCGATTTGCTGTCGTAGCTGTCGTCACACAGCATTCACTCTACTGTCTCACTAAGTATCACACTGTCACCCTACTGTCACATCAAGTGTCTCACCAAGTGTCCACCAAGTGTCTCACCAAGTGTCGCACCAAGTGTCACACCAAGTGTCACACTAAGTGTCACACCAAGTGTCACACCAAGTGTCACACCAAGTGTCACACTAAGTGTCACACTAAAGGTCACACTAGGTGTCACACTGCTGTCACCGTGGCGTACGCTGCCGTCCCCACTGCCGACACACTTTTGTCACACTGCCGTCACTCTGTCGAAACAAACACCGGTGCCGCCCTGCCGTCGTCACCGAGGTCGTCACACTGGTGCCACACTGTTGCCGCAGCTTGGCGTTCTTTCTGACACCGAGCCCCGGGGCGCGTTGCGCGCGCTGCGGTCGGTGCGGCTTTTGCTGCTTTTGCCTTTGTCGCGGTGACGACGGGAACCTCGCAGCGGAGCCTGGCGTGGCACGGCGCGGCACGACCCGGCGTGGCACGCACGGCGTGGCACGGCACGGCGCGTGTCGCGTTGATAGGCTGCGGCTTTGGCGTCCATTAGGGACCGCCTGGAGGACGAGCCCTCCCCCCCCCCCTCCCCCCCCCCCCTTTCCCTCCATTGTGCACACCTGTACACAGCTCCATTCACCGGGGGACGCACGGCGCGCGGCTGTTTTATAAAGCCGACGGCGGCACATTCCGTGTGGCCGCCCCAATTATCACTCTGTGTGTGTGTGTGTGTGTGTGATATCGAAGGCTTTCGCTGAGCAATCGGTACACACACACACACACACACACACACACACACACACAGAGAGAGACAGGCAGCGGGCTCTTTGTTGTCTGGAACTAATTAGTGTTTGCCTTTCGCCCTTTAGTGTCTGGATGGCCAGGCCCAATGATGGCCTTGTTGCCGTGGGGGAGGCGCCCAATAAGCCGGAATTATTTTTTGTGTGGGGCTTAAAGATTTTTCCGCTGTACAACAAAATATAATCGGAATCACAGAAAAAAATCGAAATCTCAACATTTAGTGTGTGTGCCAAACGCGACTGTCTCTCTCCAGTGTGTCCAACTAAAACCGTTTTGTTTTTCGTTTCAGAGGGGCGTGCCAGTCGACGCTGTTCCAGACGTGGGACATCCTGCTGCAGGAGGTGGAGAAGGACTCGCAGACGCACAGCGACATCGCCTCCGTGCTGGGCAGGCAGGTGGCTCGTCCGCTGCTCGAGAAGACCTTCCACCGGAAGATCCAATCCCGAAAAGTATTCGCGACCCGCGAGGCCTACGAGCAGTTCGTGGCCAAGGCGGAGGAGAAGCTTGTCAAGGTGGGTGTTGTCGAACAGTGGCCTTGACAGTGACAGTGGCTGTTTTCCCCCTCGCTGGCACTTGGCCGGAGGCGCTGCGGTTGTCTCTTCCTCTATCCGACAGAGAGAGAGAAAAAAAAAAACTTGCTCTGTTCTCGCATAGAAACCTACTTTATCCACACTGAGAAAACCTTACAAATTATTTGAGGCCTTACAAAGAAAAGCAGCTTGTTATAACAAAGTATTTTGAGCATACATAAGCTTACAAAGAAAATACTTCGTAATTTAAGAGCTATTTCCTCGTAAAACAAAGTAAATTAGGTTGTACTATGTATGCTCAAAATACTTCGTAAGGTTTTAAGCCTACACTCTGGAGAAACATTTTTTGAAATGAGACTTTTTTTCTTTACAAGCACAATTTCTTCCTTCAAATAAAGCTTCTTCCACGTAAATTTTCTTGTTTCAAGAATATTTCTTGCTCGGTGCAGTGACTCCGTCACGGCTGCCGTGCCATGGACACACTTTTATAGGCCCTATTCCTGAAGAACGTGATTCCGAGTCTCTCTGCTCCAAATTTTAACGGGGCAATTTCGATGAATCCACTTCAATTTTTGGCGGCTGATCCGCCCCGTTGGCCATTATTTAGGTTGCCGTGCCAGCGCGGTGTCGGGACGTCCTTCCCGCCCCACCCCACCACGCCCCACCGCCTTGACGTCCCCTCACTTATTCAAGCCCCTTGTCGCGTCCGTCGGCCTCGGCCGCCTCGGCCCGTCGCAGAGAAACGCTTCCTGTAATGGACAACAAACACGGCTCGCTCGTGTGTGCACTGCAAAACAAAAAACCTAAAATATTACAAACATCGACTCCTTTAAATCCATTCGGTAAAAAAACTACGCTATTTATCAACGGTTGTGATGTCACTTCGTTGAAAACATTGATGCATCTTAGCACTTCTTTTCGCTTTATGCTTGCACCGGAACCATAGATGAAACTACACCGTGAGACTCTGAGCGTGCAAGCAACAGGCAACACGCGTGGTCTGGCCTGTAGTGTAGGGGCTCGCTAATAATGAGTCGGGCTGATTGGAACTACTGCGCCGCCTCGTCACGTGGCCGTGCCTTGCCTCGTGGAGCGCGGCGTGGAGGGGGTGGCTTTCATGTGGTGACAAAGGAGGGGCAGGAAGAGTCTGCAGCCCGACAAAAGGCCGGGGTGGCGTCTGTAGCCGCCCTTGACCGCTGCCAGGCAAGTCCGTCACAGTGTCAGTGCACAGTGGGACAGAAGACCGGTGGAGGCGGCCGAAATTCTAGACGCGCGATTTTAGTTGCAGAGTCGCTAAACAGCACTCGGACCAAACGTGTGACCCTTCCAATGGACTCCTCGTTCGGAGAGCAATTCATTGGTGGGGTCACACGTTCGGTTGCAGTCCCATTCAAAACCCATCCTGTACTTCGAGCCACAGTGTCCGTCGCAGTCTCCGTCGCAGTCTCCATCGCGGTCTCCGTCACAACGTTCACCATAGTATTCGTCACGGTGTCCGGTGTGTGTTGCAGGCGCGCCAGGACTACAAGAACGCGTACATGTCGTACATGGCGTCGCCCAACACTGCCGCGCTCGCCTCCTACTTCGACGCCCACAACGCGTACGTGACGCAGCTGCACGCCACCAACGGCATCCTGGAGCACTTCGGCACCGAGACGCTGCCCACCCTCATGCAGGTGAAGTGCCCATGACGTTCATCATGAGTGCCCATGACGTTGATCATGAGTCCCCACGATGTCGATCATTTCATGAGTGCCCATTATGTTGGTCATTTCGTGAGTGCCAACAATGCTGATCATGAGTGCCCATGACGTTGATCATGAGCCCCCCAGATGTCGATTATTTTATGAGTGCCCATTGATCATTTCATTAGTGCCCATGACGTTGATCAATTCATGAGTGCCAACAATGTTGGTCATGAGTGCCCATCATGATTATTTCATGACTGCCAGTAATGTTCATCATGAGTGCCAATAACGTTGACGCCGTCCGCAGGAGCTGGAGGACATCTACTCGGACCTGTGCGCCACCATGACGGACGCGGCGCTGCAAGGGGCCGAAGTCATCTCCTCCAGGGTGAGTTGAACGGCGGTGGCTGCTGCGGAGATGGATCGGCGGAGCGCGGACGGGCAGCCAGACAGACAGACTGACATCGCTAGTCGGAAGTAGATAGGAGCAGGCGGGTCGGGCCGGTCGTGGCGCCGCGCTCTGCAGGCCGCTCTGTCTCCCTCGCACCCATACCAGACTCCCGGTGAGTGCGAGAGAGAGGCCTCGGTCTGCCCGAGGAATGAAATCATGCACTTAACGAGCCGCTCCGACGCCTCTCCCTCCGCGCCGACATCGGTGGGGACCATTTCTCACGTCAGTCGACGCCCTCGCCGGTCCGTCTGTCTGTCCGCCTGACTGTCTGTCTGTCTATCTGCCTATCTGTCTGTTGGTCTGTCCGTCCGTTGTATCCGCGGCGCAGAAAGCCGTGCTCGCAAGCAATGCCACCGGTGCACAGTAAGCCGGAAGACCGGTGGAGACGGTCAAAATCCCGGACGCGTTTCGAGCTGTAGAGTCGCTAAGTGGGACTCGAGCCGAACGGTGACCCCACCAAATGGATTGCTCTCCGAACGAGAAACCCATTAGTGTGGTCACGCGTGGTTCGCGTCCTGTTATGCGACTCTGGAGCTGAAAACGCGTTCAGGGTTTAGGCCGCGGGCGCCGGTTTACTGGCCCACTGCGAGCAGTGTGCGGCTTAGTCGCTTCGTTTTACAGAGACGGCAATGGAGTTGTTTGGGTGATGTATGGTGAGGTGCGTGGCTTGGCTTCGTGTTACGGCGACGGTGGGGTTGTTTCTCGAGGCAGTGCGGCGTCGACGAGGTGGCGGTGCGACCGCGGTTTGGCGGCGGCGTGGCGGTGTGGCGTGGCCGTAGAAGGCGGTGTAGCGGGGATTGAGGATTGTGTTGGAGGCGAGGGTGCCCCCTCCCCCTTCCCCCTCCCGGCCGCGGCTGACGTGTGAATAATTAAATAGCGCGCCATCAGCAGGCTGCAGCCGCCATGAGGCTCAGCTGTTTGCTGAAGTCACAAGCCGCCGCGCGCTGTGCAGAAGCAGTGTGGGAAACAGAACACAGTCACACACACACACACACACAACACACTAACACAACACACTAACACACAGATGCACATTCATTAAATATCAGGGCGGGAGAGCGGCGCCCGGCGCCCGCACAACGGGGTGCGGGCACTCACAATTGCAACTTTGGAGTTGCAAGTCGTCAAGCATCACTTCACCGCCGCGCCTCGACTCGCCGCCACTCGCCACCGCCGCGCCGTCAGGCTGGAGGGATGCCAAGCCTGGAGGGCTGGAGAACTGGATGGCTGGAGGGCTAGAGAACGAAAACGGTTGAGAAACTGAAAGGCTGGAGAACTGGAATGCTGTATAACTAGAGGGCTGAAAGTCTAGAGACCAGGAAGGCTGGGAGGGAGTTGGGACAACTGGATGTCTGCAGAACTGGAGGGCTGGGGAACTGGAAGGCTGCAAGGCAGGAGTACTGAAAGGTGGGAGAACTTGAAGGCTGCGGAACTGATGGCGAGGGCTGGAGAACTAGAAGGCTGGAGAACCGGAGGCCCGGAGAACTGGAAGGCTGTAAGGTGGAAGAACTGAAAGGCTGGAAAACTGGAGTGATGGAGATCTGAAAGGCTGGAGAACTGGACGGCTGGAGAACTGGAAGGCTGGAAAACTGGAAGGCTGGAAAACTGGAGTGATGGAGAACTGGAAGGCTGGAGAACTGGACGGCTGGAGAACTGGAAGGCTTGAGAACTGCAAGGCTGGAGAGCTGGAAGTCTGGAAGGTGGAAGACTGGAGGGCTGCAGAACTGGAGAACTGTAGAACTGGAGGGCTGGAGGACTGGGCCTGGAGGACTTGAAGGCGTTTAAGTGACGCACCGACGGCCTCCACCACGTCTTTCGGGCCTTGTTTGTGTTTCAGCCCGAACGCGGTCCTGCGTGCGCGCTCGCGCGTGTGTGTGTCAGAGAGAGAGAGAGAGAGAGAGAGAGAGAGAGAGAGAGAGAGAGAGAGAGAGAGAGAGAGAGGTGGGAGGGGGGGGGGGAGGAGGGGGGAAGGGAGACCAAACGCGGAGTTTGCCTGGCTTGCGGGCTAAATTTCCGACTCCCAGTCGAGGGGGATGACCTAACTTCGCAGATAGGCCGTGACTGAACGAACGCACGGGCTCCGCGGCTCCGCGGCTCCGCCTCCCCAAACGGTCTCTTAGAACGCGCGCCGGCCGCTCTTCATGCGGTGCGCAAAGGGCAGCAAATTGTTTGCCATGAATCTCTTCCCGGGGTCTTCAGATAGTTGAATGGGTTGACAGCCCTGAAAGGCCTGCAAGGGGCGGGGGGCGGGGGACTTTCTCCCGAAGCTCTTTCTCCCTCTGTCTCCCTCCAGCGACTGTTGCAGCAAGGCGGCCGCGTTGATTGTCCGTGTTCCCCGCCAGGCGGCTGTTTGTCATGGTCACACCCCCGTTGGGGTGCGCGTTGGGGTGGGTGGGGGCGCACAGTGGGCCAGAAGACCGGTGGCGGCGGCCAAAACTCAAGACGCGGTTTGAGCTCCAGAGTCGCGAAACAGGACTCGAACCGAACGTGTGACCCCACCAATGGATTCCTCCTTCAGAGAGCAATCCATTGGTGGGGTCACACGTTCGGTTTGAGTCCCTCAAAACGAGTCTAGAGCTTTGTCCGCCTCCGCAGGTCTTCTGGCCCACTGTGGGGCGTAGGGAAGGCCGCCGGCAATACCCCTCGCTCCGGCGGCGCAGGGGTAGCGGCAGCGCCGTCCGGGCACGGGGTAGCGCCGCGGTCGTGTCAAGGAGTGTCCGCGGGGTATCGCCACGGCGTGTGATAGCGCGAAGCAGGCAACAAGATCCGCGCCGGCGGCCTAAACTCTCGACGCGTTTTGAGCTCCAGAGTCGCTAAACAGGACTTGAACCGACCGTGTGAGCCCACCAATGGATTCCTCGTTCGGAGAGCAATCCATTGGTGGGGTCACACGTTCGGACCGAGTCCTGTTTAGCGACTCTGGAGCTCAAGACGCGTCTAGAATTATGGCCGCCTTGGCACACTGTGCGTTAGCGGAGAGTCTCTCGCGCGCGGTTTATCGTCACTTGCTCTCATCTGAGGTGCACCCTTCTCGTGCTGCAGGCGCAGGACCAGCAGCGGCGCTACGACGGCCTGGCCTCCATGTGCCGGTCCGCGTCCGCGCAGGCCGACGTGGCGCAAATCGTCAAGACGCTGGCGCCGCAGGGCGCGCACCCGCACCCCGTCGTCCGGAGGCACTTCTCGGCGCCGCACGTGCCGCCGCCCGACGTGGACCCCGGCGGGCCCGGCGGCGACCTGGGGGTGAGTACGCCGCCGTAGGCCACCGAAGCACAGTGGGCCAGAAGACTGGTGGTGCAGGCAGCCAAAACTCTAGACGCGTTTTGAGCTCCAGAGTCGTTAAACAGGACTCGAACCGGACGTGTGACCCCACCAATGGAATGCTCTCCGAACGAGGAATCCATTCGTGGGCTGACACGGTCGGTTCACTAGATGTCGTTTTTTGCCACAGAACACGATGCTGCCGCCGGCCCTGAAGAACGAGCTGGTGCTGGACCGGCTGGCCAGCATCCAGGTGCGCGCGCAGTTCGAGGGGCTGCGCAAGGAGGGCCAGGACCTGGACGTGCAGTGCAAGCAGCTGCAGGACGCGCTGGACACGCTATACCGCATGCAGCAGAGGTCGACACCAGTTTCCTATTTTTGTTCACGCTTTCGTGGTTTCAAAGGGCGTTTTGAGTCCCCGAAAGTTGGATTTTTAAGTCAATCAGGGACGGAAAACTACTCGTCTCCGTGGGGGGTCACAATCAGGGTTGACAACCATAAACGAAATTCATTTTCAAATTTTCTTTCTATCTTCAGAACGCGTCGTAGCCCGATCAGATCATGTTTCCGGATCAAGATAGGACAGTCTTTTTCTGAAATTTTATGTCATATGGCCGCTTTGCGAATGTGGTCTCTTTCACCCTCTTTTCGCTGTTTTATCACAATTGCAATAACGTTATTGAGATTTGATAATTTCGTAGATAAACTGTGAAAAAAATGAGGAAGGAGTCGAAATTTGTGACAGTTCGTCAGCAGACCGCACTCTAAATGTTCTACGGTGAAGATTCTCCATATTATGGTGAAAATGTTCCATATTATGGTGGTGCAGCTGACTTCGTAACATACCATTGAGAATTCACTGTACCTTATAGATATTTTGACGAATTTCGTTGGTATTATGGAGAAAATCTCCACCATAATATGTTGGTGCAGCCTTTCATCGTAAGACATTTACTGTGCGATTTTCGGGCAAAATTTGATCTAACTGCTGCCGCAAACGGGACCCCGATAAAACAGTGCATTTCGGAAATATTAGAGCAAATATTAACATTAATTTCGTATTTGGTAACCAACCCTGGTCACAATACACTCGTAATATCTCACGGCGAAAGGCTGCACGAACTTATTGTGGTGGATGCTTGCCGCGTCGGCAGGTCTCTGGAGTCAGCGCTGTTCAACAAGGCCAACGAGCTCCAGGACGAGATCGGCGTCAAGAAGTACGACCTCAGAGTGGCGCAGATGCAGCTGGCCGCGGTTCGCTCCCAGGTAAGTGCCGAGTTTTTAGCCCCCCCCCCCCAGAGGTGGTGGCAGTCCAAGGGGAAACAACAACTCATATCGTACACCAAATTTCTTGGACAACCTTTAATTTTAGTCAAATTTAATCAAAGTTCGTGAAATTCAGTCGGAAAGTCAAAGAAATATTTAACAAAAACCAGTTTATACCGCAATTTTTGAAAATTTCGCGGCAATCCATTGAAATCCGTCCAAAGTTCACGTGGAATTGAAAAAATTCGTGCACAGAAATTGAAAGTTATTCCCCCACGTTGAAAGTTTTTTCCCGTCGAGGCAGCCTGCGGCTAGTGTTGCTCGCGTTCGGTAGGAGGATGCGCCGGGCGTCACCGCCCCGGCCGCCTAGAGAGCCCCGACGACGTTAATGGCAGTCAACGCAATTTGGGTAGTTTGGCGCGCGCGACGACGCGGCGCCCGGGATATGGGAAATGGAAGGCAACGCCTGGATGGCGACGTCGCCCCGCCCCGTCGCCTGCACTGGGTAAAACCTGCTGGGCGGAACATCAGTGGCGCGCGCAGAAATTTTGAAAAAATTGCTGCATGCTTTTTGCCTACTTACAGGGGGAAGTGATGCAATTTGCCTACCTTCCAGGCGGCTGTCCTCACGGTAAAAACGGTTTCCTGGTTTTCCCAGGAACAACCTGGGAATCGCCTATGTCTCTACCATAGGCTTCCTGGGGAAACCAGATACCTTGAATCAAGCATACAACTACGCTTCAGTTTTACCGGTGTGCGTCACGGCGTCAGAACACCAGGAATAATGTTTCTGACTGTTACTTTTCCCGAGTAACCGTGCAGGGACGACAACACAACGTCTTGAACCGCGTCCTTGGTCCTCGCCCCACTCTTTGATGTGTGTGTGTGTGTGTGTGTGTGTGTGTGTGTGTGTGTGTGTGTGTAGGTGTGTGTGCGTGTGTGTCTGTGTGTGGCTCGTGGAACTTGTTGTGCGGGCTCTGTGGATCGTGTGCCCTCTATGCGAGAGTGGGCCTCGCTGTGGTTGGAGTGACTCGGCAGTCCTGGCAGTGCACTCTCACTCCTCGCACAGTCTTGGGTCGAACCATTAGTGCGAGAGAGCCAGGTACAGGGAGACTCTACTCGGAGTCAGCCTGTCGGGCAGTGGTCGTGAAGAGAGGCGGTGGTGCCGTAGAACACGGTGGAACGGACACTCATGCAAAATTAAACAGTTTCGCCGCAACGGACTTGCGATAGCAGTGCCGCAGGAGGTTACAGCTTTCAGGGACTGCAGAGAGGGGGGGGGGAGGGGGGCAGACGCAGGATCGTAATTGGACCTCGTGTAGCACTGTTTGCCTACCTGGAGGTGCATTGTACTGTGGGTTGCCTGCATTCAGGATCCACAGGGGAGCGGGCCTGCTTGGCCATCCCTTGCACAGCGAGCCAGAAGACCGGTGGAGGTCGGTGGAGGCGGTCAAAATATAATAGCGGACGGGTTTTGAGATCCAGATCGCTATATGGGTCTCGAACCGAACGTGTGACCCCACCAATGGATTGCTCTCCGTGCGAGGAATCACTCGGTGGGGTCACACGATCGGTTAGGTTAGGTCTAGTGTTTTGGCCACCGGCGCCTGTCTTCTGGCCCACTGTGGACCAGCCAGCCCAAGGGTGGCTGCATTGGAAGCGACGCCGTGACCTGCAGGTTGGCTTTCGAAAAAGAAAATATAAAAAGACGAAAGACGATCGAGAGAATACGACACGCGAGCGGAAGAACCGCCCATCTTCAGCGCGACGAAACAAACCCGCGTACCGCGCGGCCGCCGTTTCAAACCCGCTTACCTACCGCCGGCCGATTCAAAACCGCTTACCTCCGCCGGCCCGTTCCAAACCCGCTTACCTCTCCCAGGCCGAGGCGGCGCGTACGCGGGTTTGAAACGGGCCGGCGGAGGTAAGCGGTTTTGAATCGGCCGGCGGTAGGTAAGCGGGTTTGAAACGGCGGCCGCTCGGTACGCGGGTTTGTTTCGTCGCGCTGAAGATGGGCGGTTCTTACGTCACTCCACAGTCTCGAGCAGGCTGTCGCCGAACAGTGGCCTCGTCGTTCATGAGGTGCGAGAGAGACAGAGTGACGGCACGCCGTTCGGAGTCCGCCTGCTGCAGAGGCTCAGGAGCAGTGGTGCCCGGAAGCAAACACAGCCGCCCCGCCCCGCCCCGCCCACTGCAGCGCTTGGCGGTGTGGCGTCGCGGACCGAGCTTGGCGGCGCCGCCGCTGGCAAAGGGGGGCGCTGTCGTCGCGCGTCCCGGAGGCTGGCCGGGCTGCCCTGGCTGCCTGGGTGGTGCGGCGGCGCGTGGGGAAGGGCGGCCCGGCGGACGGGCAGGGGTGGGCCGGGGGTGGGGCAGGGGGGCACCGCGTCCTGGGCCTTCCCGAGTCCCGGCCCAGGCCAGCGGGGCCCGGCCCAGCCGCCCAGCCCTCGCTCAGTGTCTCGCAGCCTGCAGCCCGCCCTGCTTGGCGTCCCCCACGTTGCCCGCGCGCCGTCCGCGCCGCTTGCGCCACTCCGCGCAGCCTGTGGGCCGCGCGTCCCGCCCCGCGTCGCGCCCCGCCCCGCGCCCCCCGTCGCGTCTCTCCGTCCTCCGCCCGGAAGTGGAGGCCGCGATCCAGGCCTAGCGAACGGCCACGCCATGGGCCACTCCGTCGGCGGCCTGTCGGTGGACCCGGCGCCTCGCCACCGCAACCCCCATGGGGAGCCCCTGCCCCAGGAGGCGCCCCCGACCCCCGAGCACGTGCCGCACGCGCACGAGGACGAGCCCCACGGGGGGCCCCAGGCCGCCGAGCAGCCCGAGGAGCCCCACCACGACTGGTGGGGGCTCGACGGCCCCGAGGACGAGCACCAGGACGAAGACAACCTCCTTATGCCCGGCCACGTCGTACCGCGGTTCACGCGCGAAGACCCCATCGCCGCCTTCATCTTCTGCCTCATCACCACCCTGTACTACCTGTCCCAATACGTGCGCCTGCCCGGCCTGGAGGCCCTGGTGGCCGTCGCCAACCTCTTCTTCGTGCTCGCCATGCCGTCCGAGATCATCAAGCTGGGCCGCGCCGTCCTGGACAAGTGAGGCCGCCATACGGCGCCCCGCCCCGCCGCGCCCCGCCTCACCCCACCCCACCGGGCCGCCACCCCCGCGACATCCCCCCGGACCTGTTGCGGCGCCCCCTGGACCGCCCGTGCGTGGGCGTCCAGACGCCTGGGGGCGCCCTGCTTGTTTTTGTTGTTGTTGCTGCTGTTGTTGTTGTTGTTGCCCGCGACGGGATTGTGTATTTCTGGATGGAGCGTTGGTGACATCTCTGTCGCCGCGGATTTGTCGTTTTTCTGGCCGCCTCTCCTCCGCTCCGCCGCGTTGCCGTGGGCGGCGAATTCGATCCTCAAAGCGGAAACTCTGCGAGCGCTCTCTGGATGGAGTGGGTGCGCCCAGTGTGATGGTTTCGCTCTGCGTCGCTCTGTTTCACTCGCACCGCGACGGGGCGCCCCGTGAGTGCGAGAGAGACAGAGCGGCGGCACTCGCGGAAGGCGCACTGCAGCGCATGCCCATTTGGCCCCCGGGGGTGGCGGGGTTTGGAAAAGGGGGGGTAGGGGGGTGCCTGGAACCCGACCTGCCAACTCGCGTCGCCGCCAGCCGCTCAGAACGCAAATAGCCGTTTCTGGACGAAAAGAAAGAGCTCAGCTGGAGCCGGGGCTCAAAGCCCTCGGACTCCTAGGAGTCACGCAGCGTTGCCTCAACGGGGCTCCGAATTTCCTCGGAACAACCTCTGTTGGATCGGTTTGCTAATCTCAACCTGTCCGCGAGGCAATACCCCAAGGAGAACACTAAGTCACGGTGAGGTCATTTAGACTTAAATCAAAACCATGATGACCTCAAAATGGTACCTAAGCCGTGACCTTTTCTCGCATTTTGAGCTCATAGTGACATCACGTTGACTTTTCTGTTCTCCTTGGGATGTGGACTTTGCTCTCCAAACTCTGCTCAGTGCGGACGCTGAGGTTGGGAACCCTTCCGATACTGGTGCGTCGAGCAAGTTTCTGCCTGATTTGACAACTCTGAAGAAGGCGCCCCTTTGCGTTGCTGCGGCTGGACGGCAGACTGATTCCAAGAGTCGCTTTCGTTGCTGTGTCTCTCTCGCACCCAATCGGGGTGCCCCATGAGTGCGAGAGAGACAGAGCGACGAAAGCGACTTTTGGCGCAGGATGATGGAGTGGTGGCGCGACGGCGAATTCCACGACGACGAAGACTCCAGCGACAACGAGGAGTCCAACTAGTGCAGCCATGTCGGGGAAGAGGAAGAGGAAGGACGCTCTGCGATAAGACAGTGACTCTTTTACATATCAAGCGGAAAGTGATATAGTGATAAGGACGGCTAGTGCTGCAAGACAAAGTGATGGCCAGTGCCTGAGGCCCTGACGCCGAGAAGCCTGTGCTCCGACGTGCTCTCCACCTGGAACTCTTTGGACTGATCCGCCCCGATCCGCGCCGCGCCCGACCGTGCCACCGCCACCATGGGCTGGACCTCTCTGCGGTCGCACCTGGTGAGTCTCACGGTGTAGCACTCGGTGTAGCAGCGTGTACTGTAAGAAAAAAAAACAAATCCACAGGAAATGGTAGTACGCGCAAAGCTGTCGGACAATTTGCCTGGTTGTATAGGTCTGCGGTGGTCTAACAGCGATGATGATGATGATGATGATGGTGATGATGATGGTGGTGATGATGGTGATGATGATGGAGGATCCGTATGTGTGTGTGTGTGTGTGTGTGTGTCCTTGAATGACCTTGTCGCATATGGTGGGTAAAAAGAGTCTTCTCTAGAAGAAAAGGCCTTGAGATTGTTTGTCGTGCTGAAACGTGTGGTGGCCTTAGTTGAGGGGCAAAAACTTCAACAGGTTTTGTGCGTATTTTTCGTTTTCATCCCACATAAAAGCGAAATGTTCCGAAACCTAACCGTGTTAAGACACCATGATAAAGCTGAGTACGTTAAA